TATTTATGAACAATCATATCTCTTGCTCCCTCATTTAAGTCTCCAGTTGGTAGATTTACACAGATTCTTTCCCCAGGTTTACATCTGTTCCTATGACTCCGTATATATTGTTATCCTTATTTTAGAAATGAGAAAATGATGTAAAGAATTAAATAGTTCTTCCATTGCAGAATTTTAGTAAGTTTTGGAGTTGGGGTCTAACTTAAGGCAATGAGACTCCGAAGTGCACACCTTAAGAATGCCACAGCCTGACAGACATATCCTGACATAAGACTGGGAATGGGGATGGAATTTACATTGGTTGAAGACCTGATAGATGTCAGGCAAAATGTCAAATGTACTCTCCCTCCAAGGCAGAAAGATAATTCTTTACTGTAAGATGGCTTAAAATAGGCATCCATATATGCTGTTCAAAGTTCTAATTCACATGCGTAAAGAAATAATGATACTCGACATGCTAGGCCTATGACAGGGAGTAAATGGAAAAATTTAAAATTTCAACCAAAAGTGAGATCAAGAGTTCATCTAATTACTTATCTGCCATCCCTCCATCTGACTTTGATTGCTAGTTAAGTCAGTGGGTCTTTGCTTCCTTATCTACCACCAAACAAAACATCCATAACTCCTAACCTCAATGTGAAACAGCTTTATTTCTGCCTAGACCAATCTCTACCTCTTCTTTGATAATGTTATTAAAAGCCCATGTCTTAGCCGAGGACTTTGGCACTTGGACAGCTGTCTTCTCACGTCCTTCGGTCGTGGTCTCACCATCCTGCTGTGTGCCTTCACCTGGACCCTGAACTCCCCTCAACCGCTGCTCAACTTGACTCATGTCCTTCTAGAGCAATATCAACCTTGCCATTTCCCTGACTTCTTCCCCCTCATAAACTTGTAAGTCACCAACTCAACACCTTGTTTTCCTTTAGTTTCTCTTTTTTTCACAACTTCCTGCTGCCAACAATACCTTATGGTTGTATTGAAGTCTTGCCCCAAGAATTTGAGATAGTGGGTTATGCTTTTCATCCATGAATAATAGACATATACATCAATTATATAGTGAATTGAAAGGTGAATAATCATATAGAAAAGATTAGAGCGGTACGGATGATTGGGAGAGTTGATGGAAGGAGGAACTGGATAGTGATTTTATATATAGTTTTCTGAGTAGACCCTATTGAGCAAGTGATATGTAAGCAAAGAATCTGAAGAAGGTGAAATATTTACTAGATTTATATATTTGAAAGGAGTCATGTTACTCCACAGGGCCAACTCACTTAGCTTTTATTTAAATTCAAAGGATACAGTGCAACAAGACAGTGCAGGCAAGCATTGGGAGTCAGAGAGACACAAGCTCCCAAGATTCCTTATTTTAATTTTAAATAGTGTACCATAAAGCTCACTGTCTTTATCTTGGCAAAAAGTCAAAAACAGACATCCAGTCTTTCCCAGAGATAAAAATTGAGCTTTTCAGTTCTAACCGTAAATCGACTCTATCCTACATACTCATTGAGCTGGGAGAATTATCCATGCGTATATTTGGATGGTAGCTTTGTAAGCACGTGAATGATATGACACAAAATTAAGTCAGAAATGTTTGTGGTATTACAGTGATGCCAGGTTATCTAGAGCAGACTTAGCAAGAGTGTTGCAGTAGTGATTATGTCAGAGAAGTAAAACTCATATAGGCTCTTGGAGGTTTTAGTAGCCATCTGTCTTTTAGATTCTAAGCACGTGACTCACACTTTAAAAGGATGGTTGGCTGAAAATAGTCACTATGATGGCAGAGTAGAAGTGGAGAAACTACTGCAATAATCCAGGAATGAAAAGAAGGTATTTCAGACTAGGGGTGGTAAGGATGGACTTGAGCATAAGTTTTGAAGGTGAACCAACAGAATGCATTGACACTTTGAATGTAGAGTAAAGAAAAGTGCTTAAATAATATGGTTATTGCTATAGAGCAGGAAGACAGAAAGGCTATAATGTAAAACAAGGCCATTTTGTTTCCAAGGTTTGTGCTCTTAACTCTTTGTAGATTTAAGTTTATAAATAACAAGCGATAAAATTTGCATAGGTAACTGTGAGGCAAGACAAGTGTATGGTATGCCATCATAAGGAGTTTAAATGTTCTCCTATATGAATAAGGACATAGTCAAAGTATTTTTGACATGGTAAGAGAGGGATTTGGAAAGATACAGCTTGCATTTTATATATTTCACTGGGATAAAGTAGGGGAAATTAATTCCATCAAAACTGAAGACTAGTGACACAGCTAAGAGACTACTGAATGCACAGGAAAGGTGTGATGAAGGTTGGATGAGAGGAAAAGCACAAAAACGTTTTGAGAGAAATGACAGAGGTAAATTCAATTGACTGGATGGATGTATTTGGGTTAGAGTAAAAGAGAGAACTACTAAGATCTCAACTTTTCTGACGGAATGAATAGTAACACCTTTTACTAACGACATAGAATATAGCAAGAAAGTAATTAATTTGGGTTAAGGTGAGTAAGTGGAAGGGAGTGAAGAATGAGTTTAGTTTTGAGCGTGTATATGTGGGAAACCTTTTGGAAATGCACAGATGGATTTGAAAGTACTTTTCCTCTGCAGATAAATATAAAAAAATTAATAGTTGCTAATTTCTATTTCTTCATAGGCTTACATTTTTCTCCCTGTTTTCTTATTGGTGATATCCACTTACCAAAGTAAGGTTTAGAGACCGTGTAAATG